GCCTTGCTCATTTAATGTGTACTAGACAGATAATTTTTCAGTATCTACTATGGTATATACAGAGTGAGTTAAAAATAATTCTTGGATATAATCTTAATATTTTACCACCGGTTATTGATGTCCTTATTAAATTTCCTTCGTTAATTCCTTAATCAATGGGTTGATGAAAAAATGTTGTCTTTTTTTTTCTTCCTGAAAATAACTCTATTGAGTGCCCAGACCAAACTCTCCCAGATTTCTTTTTCGGGTACATCATGAAAGACCTTATTTATCATGAAAAAAACCGTACTATTCAGAAACATTGAGGAAGTTGGTATCGAATATTCGAGAGTCTGTACCACTCTGTAACTCATTGGCTGTAATTGTGTCTTGATCAGTGAGGAGGGTATTTTGAACTATGTCCATCTTGGTACAATTTTTTAATAATTTTTCTGAAATAAATGGTTGGATAAACATTTCCTTCATTGTTTTGTTCCTTCTAGTGCAGTGAAATTCAAATAGCATGCAAACTATCAACTATCAAATCACGTGCTATGTTATCATAGGAGAAAACAAAAGTGAATATAGAATAGGTATAGTTTTTTCCAAAAACCAAAAATTGGTACAAAACCAAAACATTGACCTGGGAACACTAGTAAATAGCCTCGTCACATGCAAACTTTCATACGAATGTCATTCATAGCGCCAAATCCGTTCAGAAATATCTAAGCTGTCAGTTGTATACAAACCATTCTAAGATTCATGGTTAAAAATAGCCATGAGCGAGTGAAGCCGGGCGGTCTTGGCAAAGACCATCCTTCTTTGAACATTGTGGACTGACGCTACAAAATCACAAACAAAGTACTGTACCAAAAAAAACAGAATCCACATCACTTGATGACTACCAGCAGTAGCAACAACTAAAATGGATAGCACATGTCATTCAAAGAGAAAATAATTATGCTTACATTACACACTGCTATAAACCAATGGTTAGGAAGGAAACCCCTACCAATGTTGGATAGAGTTACTGGAATTGTGAAACCTATTTTCCTGAAAACTGTTTTTGAGAACGGTATTGGCTGCCCGGTAAATGAATACGACATATTTCCTTTTTTTCTGGAAACGGTTGTTACCATTATACCATTACCATACAAAAGGACTCAAAATGGGCCAAGGGAATTCAAAATTTAATAAATCCTTTTAACTTTAATTTACAATAACATAGTATTTATATAATACTAAGCAGATATTTTCTATTAATAGAAATAGTATTTCATATAATACTGAGCAGATATTTTCTACTAATAGAAATAGTATTTCATATAATGCTGAGCAGATATTTTCTACTAATAGAAATAGTATTTCATATAATACTGAGCAGATATTTTCTACTAATAGAAATAGTATTTCATATAATACTGAGCAGATATTTTCTACTAATAGAAATAGTATTTCATATAATACTGAGCAGATATTTTCTACTAATAGAAATAGTATTTCATATAATGCTGAGCAGATATTTTCTACTAATAGAAATAGTATTTCATATAATACTGAGCAGATATTTTCTACTAATAGAAATAGTATTTCATATAATACTGAGCAGATATTTTCGTTGCGAAAGATATCTTTAAGAAACGTCCATTTTCAGCTTGGCACGAACATGTCCTCTCGAAGACAATTTTCCATCAAATTCCTCGGACATTCTAATCCTCAGGTTTCTGTTTGAATTTTGTACTTTTGTCGTTAGAGAGTCTGGGGTCTGTTGGCATAAACCTTTTCTTTTGGATAGCCCCACAGGAAGAAATCTGGTCGTGTCAGATCCGGGAAAACTGGAAGTCAGTTTATGTCACAACAGCATGATTTTTTTCCTGAGAATTTGGATTGGGACCCACGCCGTTTGATCTGTCACCCCCATCTTGTTGCACGTAAACAGGTTAAGGCTTTTAAGATTTCGTTAAAGCGACGGCCGAGTGATCCCAGCCTGTCGGGACCGCCTTCGAGTTGATGCGCTTGGATCTTCTCCGATTCTCTCCCTTACTCGCCCAACTACTCCTTCGTTCCTAACGGAACTTGCTCCGCCACTTTGTGGAAGGTTACTTATTAAATCTTAACGCTCAAAACTATCTTTTTTTTTAAAGCGTTTCACCCTCAAGCAAGGCGGGAAACCACTAGCATGCAAAGGGTTACAGAGAGTTGGAGCGAGAGCAAATTGGAGTGATAGAGGAAAGGATGAAGAGAAAGATAGGTGTTAGATCAAGGCATCTGGAGACGTCGATTGACATTCCATTTGAATAGTTGGAGATTATAGCTATCAGGGAAACAGGAAAAGAGGAGGGAGTTCCACAGTCGAGAGGTGCGAGACATGAAGCTATTGGAATAAAAGAGACGGCTACATTTAACAGTTTCGACAGTGAAAGGGTGTAAACGAGATGCCAGCCTAGTAGAACGCTTAAATTCATGAAGTCTGGGAACCAGCGAAAGCAGGTCATCGGAGTAATTACCATGAAAGTATTTGTAAAATGACAGAGGAAGGCGACGGCACGTCTGTGAGAGAGCGACTGCAGACGAGATGCCAGATCAGGGTCAATTACATTGCATATCCGTCTCTGGATCTTATCAAGAACCTTGAGACAAACAGAAGGGGCACCAGACCCTATATGGCAGCAATACTCCATACAAGGGCGAATGGTTCAACTTTATACAATAACTTTCTCAGATAAATTCTTAAACTTGATCAAAGACCTTCATTCTTTGAACTGTCGCTTCAGATTGGTTGATTGATTCGTTTTATACGGTTTGTCAACACGCTTTATTAATTAACCCATAGATGAGGAGAGAAGAGGTGAATTTATACCTTTCTCAACGATATTTTTGCCTAAGTGAATCTAACGGACCCAACTAGAATTGGAACGCGGCTCTCCGAAAAAAATTACGTGGTATTTCCAAGCCGTCACCTTTCGTGAAACTGATGGTTTAAGCCCGTTGATTGGACAGGAAACAGTGTTTCAGCGTAATGTGGCCGTAAACTCTGCGGCTGCAGAAACACGGACAAAGAACCGTGCCGAATAACAGAAACCACATCACTTGAGGATTTTTAACAACAGTAGCAAGAACAGTTACAGAGCCATTTTGGATAAAAAAAAAAAAAAACAACCATTTTCGACAAGAAATCTTGCCTTCTCACAAACTGCACAGTCATCAATTCACGGGTAAAAGGAAAAAGCGCCACAACATCTTTTTCCTTTAATACTGGACGTTTGACCTCCAACTGAGCCGATCAGATACATCAACCGAGTTCAAATATTAGGTTGGTGCAAAAATAATGACGTAATAATGTCGTTTTTTGACCTTAAAAAATACGTCAAAAAACGACATTATTACGTCATTATTTTTGCACCAACCTAATATTTGTCCATCCTGCGTAAGACGATAAACTACGTCCAACAGCAAGGTCTCTGATCAGAAGGTTTCAAAAAGAGTGGAACAACCTTTTAATTGCTGATGTTCTAAGGTCCACCCTTTACCCGTGGTGGTAGCACCTGTTAGGGTCCCAGCTATGGGCAAATAGTTAACCCCCAAACTGGGGTTAAAACACTATGAAAATGTAAAAATAGCTTTTAATACCAGAAATACTTTTAAAAAAATTATTACCAAGCAATACAGTAAAAGAAATCAAAGAAAACCGAATATTTCCAGTGTTGCACTTGTATGCGACCATGCGTTGCCATGGAGGAGAAAAACGTTTTCCTATTGACGACTAAAGGGCGAATTACGACCATACGGTGGACACATACCAGTTGCTGGACGTATAAATGTCCATGTCATTTTAAGCACTCTAAGTGAATTATACCCGACAAAATAACTACGCACACCATATTACCTTTTTTTGCGTCGGGCTCAGCTTTTGGGATCGGGTGTAGAGATCTTGTCGTATGTAACAATTTTTACATATATATATATATATATATATATATATATATATATATGTGTGTGTGTGTGTGTGTGTGTGTGTGTGTGTGTTTGTGTGTGCATTTAGGCAGCCATCTTTCTTTCATGCACATTTTATTGAAAACAACAGACAAGGTGCTTTTATTTAGTTTTTTATACACTTTCTCATGCGATCTATTTTTTTTTCTTTTCGGATGATAAATTATATAAAAACTGTCCGAATGTTCCTTTTATCCGAGCGCTTTCGGCTATACATTTAGCCATTTTCAAGGATTATATTTTACCTATTAAAATAAGAAATAGTTTGTTGTATATATGTTTTATAAAATGTTTTCATTTTTCAAAACACGGTCAAGATATTATGTCCATGTTCAAAGTTAATATTATTAAGTGTTGGTTTGTTTGTTTTTATTAATAAGGCTTCATTAATTTTAGCCTTTGTTTTGCATATAGATGATGCTATTATATTAGTGTTGTCAACAAGTATGTTATGAATAGTGCCCTGTAGGTCTCCATGAATATTTAAATGACATCTGCGTGTCAAACATGTAGTGTGGCCTATATAATTATTTACGAATTTTGATTGATCAGGAATACAATTCCTTAATGGACATTTAAATTCGTAAATAATATTTGCCCTATTTAATATTGTTCTAAGAGGTGAATTATTATTTTTAACTTTAAAGTTAGATGTTTTAAATTTTTTGCAATAAATAATTAATCTATTTTTTTGCTATTGTCAACTGGTGTTATGCATGTTCTTAATACTGTATCCATTCTGTTTATAATTTCCGTTCATCTGATTTTTATAAAAATATTAATGTTATTATTTATGTTTCTATTCTCGCCGTTGTCGTTATATATATATATATATATATATATATATATATACAAGTATAGGATTGGTGTACACGGAATAAATTACAATAACCAAAAAATACTATTCTTAAAAGAGTGCTCAATACAGAGTAGAGGAAATATAAAAAAAACACTCTTTATTCAACATTCACCATCACTTGATAAGACACCAGAAGTGTTAAAACAAAATAGCTATTTTTGTAGCGATTTTATATCATATTTATGTTATAATTTCCGAATAAATTAGATAGATAGATAGATAGATAGATAGATAGATAGATAGATAGATAGATAGATAAAAGGATCTCACACGTAGATAGATGGTTAATTAGATAGTTAGATTTGAGCAGAGACTGGCGGATAGATAGATAGATAGATAGATAGATAGATAGATAGATAGATAGATAGATAGATAGATTTGTACGGATAAAACTTCGTGTAATACAGAAAAGTTCATTTGGATATTAACGTCAGCAAAATCATTTTTCCGATACACAATACAAATCATACTGTTTTGCTTCTGCAGTATATAAAATGCCCCAAAAGCATTTATTTTTATATTTCCTTTAAAATTAAGTAATTCACTGAGGTAAAGACAAGCTGCGTTAAAGTGGGACCTATCTCTTTTTCTTTAGAAATTACATTGATTAAATAAGTTAGGTGAATCAGAAAATTTGAATGAAGGTCATCCGTGTCATTCGCTTATGATGGTACGAGATTCACTTACGATTAGAAAGAATTAATCCTACTTATTCGGCACCTGTACTTGGCTCTGCAGCAAGGACGTTTTGAATACGGAATATTTGGTGAGAATTTTGGTTCTTTTGCGTATTCTGAATGAGCTGGTGGTAAGGCAGGGTTAACAGGGGTTTTTTTTTTTTTTTTTTTGTTTTTCCTTTCTTGGCGGGAAATTATCTTATGTTTATTGGTCTTAGTACTACTTTATTTAATTAATAAAGGAAAATTAAGGCCAAAACATTGGACAGAGAATAAAACGAGGAAGAAAGAAATCAGGAAAAAAAGGAAAAAAAAAAAACAAAACAAAGACAAAGACCATAAAAAAAAATGTGGTGATAGAAGGAAGAAAATGGAAATATCGTTTAGGAAAATTTTATTGCGTGAGAAATACAAAGAGGGCGAAAGAATCGAAGACGACAATAGTGAATGAATTGCAAAAGAAGACGAAGAAAAAGAATGAAGAGAATACGAGAAAAGTGGGAAAGGAAAAATCGGGATGTATTACAGAAAAGGAAGGAAAGGAAGAATGAGAAGAAAAAATGGAGGCGGGAAAAGATTGGAACAAGCAAAAGGTTTTAGGAAAATATTAGTAACGTAGAAATAAAGAATAAAAAGAAATGAAAAGATTTAAAAATGAAGAGAAATAGAATGTGGAAGGCATAGAAGAAGAAGAAGAAGAAGAAGAAGAAGACGAAAGAAGAAGAAGACGAAGAAGAAGAAGAAGAAGAAGAAGAAGGAGAAGAAGACGAAGAAGAAGAGGAAAAAGAAAGAATGCGAAGAAAAGAAGAAAAAGAAGAAGAAGAAGAATGAGAGGAAAAAGAAAGAATGCGAAGAGAAGAAGAAAAAAGAAGAAGAAGTAATAGAAGAAGAAGAAGTAGAAAAAGAAAAAGAAAAGGAAATAATGAAGAAATGCGGGAAGAATAAAGAACCATAATTAAAATAAAGACAGAAATGAAGAATAATAAAATGTTTAAAGAATAATATAGATAAATAGTGAAGAAGAACAAGAATAGAAAGAAGAAGAAAAAAGGAGGAAGAGATAAACGAAGAAAAACGGGGAGAATAAAGAATCATAAGAAGAAGAAAGACACAAATGGTGAAGAAGAAGAAGAAAAAGAAGGGAAGGAAATAACGAAAAAAACGGGAAGAATAAAGAAGCATAGGAAACAAAAGAACAAAATTTAGGAAGAATAAGGTGTATAAAGATATACATAGATATATAGTGTAGAAGAAGAAGAGAAGGAGGAGATAACGAAGATATACATGGGGAGGGGGGCTAAAGAAAAAGAATAAGGAGAAGAGGAAAGATAAAAATGAAGAAGAATAAGGCGTTTAAAGAAGATATATATAGATATATATTGGAGAAAAACACAAGAAGAACAACAACATCAAGGAAGAAGTACTAAATAGCAGGAAGTAAATGCAAAGCTTACGATGAATCGTTTGCGAATGAAGAAGATGAAGTCGAAAGAAGGAAGCTGAAACAATGAAGACGATGAAATCTAAATTGAAGAAAACGAAAAATGAAAATAGAAATGGCGTTGAAACTGATGAATTTACCGAAGATTATATTACGAAATGAAATAATGCGGGAGAATTGGTTTCTTCAAGATTTATGCGGGAAATGGCGAAGGTCAGTCGTTTAGTTCAAAATAAAGCCAGGATGGGAAAAAGATAATAAATTAATACTCGGATATGAAATCGGAATCTATTATTGAAAATAAATGGAAAAGAGGAAAGACGAAAGGACAGGAAAAGAAAAAGAAAGAAATCGATAAAGAAAAAGAAAGAAATGAAACATTATAACAATTAAATGCTATTGATAAAAAGGAAAGAAAGAAATTAAACAGTATAATGTTAAAAATCCAATGAATAAAGAGAAAAAAGAAAGAAAGAATAAAAAACAGTAAAAATACAAAAAGATAAATAAATAAAAAAGAAAAGAAAAGTCAAACAGTATAAACATAGAAACGAAGAGACTAAAAGAAAGAAAAAAAAGAGAGAAAGAAAGAAATGCAATAAAATGAAAGAACTAAAGGGAAAACAGTATAGCGAAAAAAATACACTGAATTGAAAGAAAGAAATGGAGTACTGTAATAATAATAATAATATAATGAATGAATTGAAAGAAAAAAGAAAGAAAGAAAGAAAGAAAGAAAGAAAAAAGAAAGAAAGAAAGAAAAAAGAAAAAAGAAAGAAAGAAAAATGAAAGAAAGAAAGAAAGAAAAAAGAAAGAAAGAAAAAAGAAAGAAAGAAAAAAGAAAGAAAGAAAGAAAGAAATCAAAGGGTATAATGATAAATCATGGATAAAACGAAAGAAACAAACCTGGGAAAGAAGAGGAATTATGCCTTTCAGAATTATATTTACGCGTAAGTGAATATAACTTCACAATTTCGATTACACCACCCGCACATCCAAACTTACAGCAACTGGTATTCTCTAGCTAGACGTTGCTTAACTTCAGTAATCGTACAAAAACCGATTGTCGCGGAGGGGGTGGTAAAAAAACTAGTATTAGAGATAAGTAATTTATTTTCAAATTTTGTGGATAGTGTTACAGCGCATGATTGTGGATTTTGTGTTGTTGATATTAGAAATGCAGTTGTACTTTGAACATCAACTATACAAAATTCATAATCCTACCCTTTAACACTCTAAAAAAATAAATTATCTCTAATACTCGGGTCATCACGGCTACGTCCAAGACAATCGAAGATCCAATTAGGAAGAAAAACAAATCCAACACCACTTAAGATTCCTGTATTTATCAAATAAATCTCTTACAATGTAAATACACTTACATCGGCGCGACATCTCGCAATCTAGAAGCCAGAATCTATGAGCAAAAAATGGATCTACGTTGAGACAAACTTTAAACTAACTCGTAATACAAAGGAATAAAACTGGCCATAATTTTGATTTTAGAAATACCGGCTTGATTAAAACAAATAACATTGTTCTTTTACGTTGACAGAACTTCGAGAGAAGACTGATAAATGGTTTTACAACTGTCAAAAACTGTATATTACATCACCAGCCTTTATTCAATTAAAGAATCTAACGTATGCTTATCTAGCACAACGTGGACTATCATCAACTATGGCTACTAGAGGTACACATACACACACTGTTATGAATATAGATTATCATCTGAATCCCACATAGACAGACAAGAAGTATGATACACTTGACGTACATTCAGCAATATTTACGTTTTGTTTTTTTCAGTTAGGCTTGGAACATGTTAATTTTTTTGAGATTCGTTTAAAATTCTTTTATTCTCATTTACCAAGTACATTTTATCTTTTTCCAAGATCATATTCGATTATCCATTATGGAATTTTTTTCTTTTATTTTATAAAAATTCCATAATTTTTTCCATGTTCTAATGAACGCTGAGCACATTGTCAATCGTTTTGCATTTAAAAGCATATTGAAAAATTATGGTAATGGATAGCACACATCTTTATATAAATACATATACTAATCAACAACATATTGTTTTGTACCACTTGCATACCTGAAGATGATCTTGGAAAAAGATCGAAAGTACTTGGGAAATGAAAATAAAATAAATTTAAACATAGCAATGCTATAGCACATTTCTCTCACCATTTAACATCAATACAAGGAAGGCTGTTCGTGATTATGAACGGATTTTGTTAAAAATTAGCAAATATAATGTCTGTAATTTATTCAATCAGACATGACTAAAAGAGAATCTGCTGCCTAAATACAAAAAATACATACATAGACACACACACACACACACACACACATATATATATATATATATATATATATATATATATATATATATATATATATATATAGAGAGAGAGAGAGAGTATGTTCTAATAGATTTGACCGATTTTAAATGTGAATTAAGTTTAGGGGTCTAATTTTTTTTCTTTTTCTTTCAGATTTGGTAGATATTTAAACGATATTATTTTTCACACATAATTGCCATAACTTAAATAGCATGATCCAATAGAGAAATAGATTTTCACAATTAACACTTATTTATTTACTGCTGACTTTTACCCGTCTTAATGAAACACCCTTACATATATATATATATATATATATATATATATATATATATATATGAAGAAGAGAGAGAGAGAGAGAGAGAGAGAGAGAGATGAGGAGTTATTGGAAAAATCGAAAAGAAAAACAACGATATGCAATGTGAAATTTGTTTCTCATATATAAGACATTCGCTTATGTCTATTATGTCCAGATGCGGTTAGAAGTTGACCGAATATTCCAATGAAAACAAATCAGAATCGGTCTGTATCTTAGTTTTCGTCCCCCAGGTGAAGTATTATTGGCTTTATCGACAGCAAATTCCAACAGGCGATCGTTTTCTCTCCTCTTGCATTCCCTTGTGTCCTTTTCCGAAAAAAAAACAAACTGTTGACGAACAACAAAGATGGGAAGACATTTTTTTTTTTCAAAATCTAAAATGTTTTTGAGAAAAGGACAAAGGAAAAAATATATATTGAAATTGAATATTTATCGTCATTGTAAGTTAATTTTCGTGATTGGACGACGAGTAACAGTTGGACAAACATTAAAAAAATTAATTAGTTAGCAGCAACAACAATAATGGTAATGGTAATATTTGCTGTTTCCTTATAAGGAAACATTAGGCATTCATTAACCAAGTAGCTAGGTATACTATCTCTTGAAATTTATGTAATCTTTTTTTATTAAAACAACTTTTAGGGAAGTAAATTTTTCAAATCCACTGTTATCACTTTTTCTAGTACTGATGGGAATTTCCTTCCTAAGCTTTCGTTTGAAGCCGTGTGAAATTTTAACATCTTGATTATGTCTTTATTTTCTCTTCGAGTTACATGTGATATCTATTTAAGGTGTAGCCGTTGATGAAAGTCTTCAACTGATGTGGTTTCTGTTATTTGGGACAGTATCTTGATTGTGTAGCACCAGGCCACGTGGTTAAAAAAAACTAGTGTCCTCACTAAGACTTACAGCCTTGATTTAGTCGCAGCCATCTTTAACCATCGATCTGAGAAAACGGCTGTATACAGCTGATAGTTATTTGAACAGGTTTGGCGCCATACATAGCGTTCATGTGAATGTGTCGAGCTGATGAGCTCATTTAAGAATCGTATGTCATGTGAGTGTTAAATTATGTAGGCCTTCTCGTTATGTATCCTAGAAAATTATGAATTAGGTTCTTGTATGCTCTACAGAATCACAACCTAAAAATATTAGCAAATAAAAAGAAAAACACCACACCTGACGACTGCCAAGAACATCAATATAGGAAAAGGGAAAATAATGATATAATCTAAATGTTGACTTTCTACACCACCTTAAACAGAATGTTAGGAAGGAAATTCCCATTATTGCTGGAAAGAGCGATAATACCCAATTGTTTTTGTTTGTTTGTTTTTTTTTCTGAAAAAAATTTTAAAAGAAAAATCTTATAAATTTCAACTAATATAACATTGATTGTTCTGACAATGAATGACGAATGTTTCTTGCATGGGAACGGTTAATCTTAAGATTAACATGTTTCTTAAATTTTTCTCGCTCCTCCCATGCCCAGTCGGGGCATTCTCAGAATTCACTTCTAGAACGACATCAATGTCGCCTCAAACATCTTCATTTGGGTTATGTTTACATAGTCGAACAAGGCAAATAGCTTCTGTAGTTGGATGCCCAAAAAGTTTTGTTTTTTTTTATCAACGCCATAGCTGTATATTTCTATAAGTTCAAACTGGGAAAGCTGAAATACGAAGATCTAACCCACTATCCAGCATTTAACCAAAAATTAAGAAAATGACTTAAGATACTTAGATAGAATCTAAGTCTTTTTTTATCTTTGAAGAGAATGTTCGTCATTCACTGCATTATACATTAGATATTACATAACAGTTCAGCACCCTTTGCTTCTAACGAAACGTGTATGACCTCTTTAATCCGGCACCTTTAAAACCAAGACACTGCCGGGCCATAGAAAATGCCGGATGATAGAAATGGTAACCATGTAGAATAGTATTGCCAGTTAATTCCACATAGATATTGCCGTGTTATCAAAGGTAGAACACGGTTTAAATCAGGAAATAAAACGATCACTAATGCATCCAAACGAGGATTTTATTGTTCCCCGCAAAGCAATGACTAAAAAGATAAAATCCGAAAACCAAAAGATAATATATAGTTACTATCTTGAATTGGTAAATATGCAGCTATATAAAAGAAATGGGCAAGGCTGTATCACCAAAACACACTGCTGATGTCGTCTGCTGCGTAAAGTCCTAAACAATGTATGGCCGTGCCCTCGCAGTGCCATAATGAACTAATGGAGGCGGATTACAAAAGGTGCCGGACCAGTGAGTGCTGGATGAAAGAGTTTGGACTGAATGTATTCCTATATTCCAACTGCATAAGTCAGCTCTAAAGAAGATAGTTTCAAATCAGGCTCCCTTTACAAAAAGTGCCATACTCGATATTAGATCATACATAGCTGTTCAGCTCCCTTTTCTTTTCTTCTAACGAAACATTCTAACAGTCCGGCTTCTTTAATCAGGTACATTCGGACCATGACACTGTCGGATCACAGAAAATGCCGGATAACAGACGTGCTTTACAAAGAGCAAGAGAGGATAATATAAGACACAACGTCCAGAAGTTATATGAACACTGTGAACGTGAATGCTTTGATCATCTGTTTGATCAGATACGTAATGCTGAGGGAGTTACGGTATAATTGTAAAACAAAGTACAGATACATTTTTTAACTTATCAGTACTTAATAGACGAATGACTTTCACAAAGATGATTTTAAATCATTAGAACTTTCAAATTTCTCTTAAAATGGTAAAAAGATACCTTGATTGTGACAGGTGAAAATATTTCTTAGGTAGATCAAAACTGGGTGATGATGGTTCAATCCCACTGCTACAAAGACTTCTACAAATGATTTTTCAAGAAGCCTGAATCTTTATGCCGAATCATGAAAAAAATGGCAATATAAAAGAAGATTCCGAAAAACGAGAAAAATGCTATAAGAAAATCGATCAGAAGTTGTTCAACGATTCTCAAAAACAAAAAACCACAGCTGTATTTTATACTTTATCTGGTAGTTTTCTGGACAATAACTCATAGCTGGTGTGAGCCAAGTCGAAACGCGTTTGCCTAAACGTGACGACGAAGTCATCTGTCATTTGTCAGAGATTATCCTCAAAGACGACTCTGATTAGAAGAATGTGATCTTGAAAAGTGCAAAGCTTTTCAATCTTGACTAATATATCGTTTTTGGTTTGACCTACGTCGAGAAAAAAGATGTTGATCGCACCTCAGTGATTAGTTTTCACCTCTAATGAAGTTAGCTGTCATGTCTCCGGATCTTAACGCTCTGCAAAATATTAGTGAGTTGAAGGCAAGGGATGTGCAGACGGGCGACGCCCAATATTCCACCCTTGAGGAACTGAAACAGGCTATCATGAATGCAAAGTAGAACACTTCTTATTCTATTCTGTTTAAATTGGAGAACTCGGACACGGATCGTGCCATTAAGTGTTTGAAAGCGATACAGTCATTCATAAAGTGTTATCATTTTGGTAAATAACTTTTCCTTCATAAAAAAAAAATCATTGTTTTTACAATTGCTGGACATTAGGTCTTTTCATGTTTTAATTTTTTTTTTAATTTTTTATTGCTCTGTCTTCTAATTATGTTAATTCCTTAATTGGTTAGTCCTGGGTATGACGATAAATACATCTGGAGATTGGAAGCTTCGAGCAGCGTGGGACCACATTTTAATTGCTTTTGTTTCCAGGAATATCCTGATACGGGGTGGTAGCACCTGTTAGAATCCCAACTACGGGCAAATAGTGAAATCCACCAAACAAAAATAAAACACTATGAAAGCATAAAATACATTTTTATAGTAAAATTACCTGCAATACATCTTTTATTAAAAAATGACCAACAATACATATTTATAGTAGAATTACCAAGAATAGATTTTATAGCAAAATGACCAACAATACATATTTATAGTAGAATTACCAAGAATAGATTTTATAGCAAAATGACCAACAATACATATTTATAGTAGAATTACCAAGAATAGATTTTATAAAATGACCAACAATACATATTTATAGTAGAATTACCAAGAATAATTTTATATAAAATGACCAACAATACATATTTATAGTAGAATTACCAAGAATAGATTTTATAACAAAATGACCAACAATACATATTTATAGTAGAATTACCAAGAATAGATTTTATAGCAAAATGACCAACAATACATATTTATAGTAGAATTACCAAGAATAGATTTTATAGCAAAATGACCAAACAATACATATTTATAGTAGAATTACCAAGAATAGATTTTATAGCAAAATGACCAACAATACATATTTATAGTAGAATTACCAAGAATAGATTTTATAGCAAAATGACCAACAATACATATTTATAGTAGAATTACCAAGAATAGATTTTATAGCAAAATGACCAACAATACATATTTATAGTAGAATTACCAAGAATAGATTTTATAGCAAAATGACCAAAATACATATTTATAGTAGAATTACCAAGAATAGATTTTATAGCAAAATGACCACCAATACATATTTATAGTAGAATTACCAAGAATAGATTTTATAGCAAAATGACCAACAATACATATTTATAGTAGAATTACCAAGAATAGATTTTATAGCAAAATGACCACCAATACATATTTATAGTAGAATTACCAAGAATAGATTTTATAGCAAAATGACCAACAATACATATTTTAGTAGAATTACCAAGAATAGAATAGCAAAATGACCAACAATACATTTTATAGTAGAATTACCAAGAAAAATGACCAAGAATACATATTTGACCAACAATACATATTTATAGTAGAAATACTAAGAATAGATTTTATAGCAAAATGACCAACAATAGATTTTATAGCAAGAAAGATTTTATAACAAAATGACCAAATACATATTTATAGTAGAATTACCAAGAATAGATTTTATAGCAAAATGACCAACAATACATATTTATAGTAGAATTACCAAGAATAGATTTTATAGCAAAATGACCAACAATACATATTTATAGTAGAATTACCAAGAATAGATTTTATAGCAAAATGACCAACAATACATATTTATAGTAGAATTACCAAGAATAGATTTTATAGCAAAAATGACCAACAATACATATTTATAGTAGAATTACCAAGAATAGATTTTATAGCAAAATGACCAACAATACATATTTATAGTAGAATTACCAAGAATAGATTTTATAGCAAAATGACCAACAATACATATTTATAGTAGAATTACCAAGAATAGATTTTATAGCAAAATGACCAACAATACATATTTATAGTAGAATTACCAAGAATAGATTTTATAGCAAAATGACCAACAATACATATTTATAGTAGAATTACCAAGAATAATTTGACCAACAATACATATTTTAATAGCAAAATGACCAACAATAATGACCAATTACCAAGAATAGATTTTATAGCAAAATGACCAACAATACATATTTTAGTAGCAAAATAGACAAAAACCAACAATACATATTTATAGTAGAATTACCAAGAATAGATTTTATAGCAAAATGACCAACAATACATATTTATAGTAGAATTACCAAGAATAGATTTTATAGCAAAATGACCAACAATACATATTTATAGTAGAATTACCAAGAATAGATTTTATAGCAAAATGACCAACAATACATATTTATAGTAGAATTACCAAGAATAGATTTTATAGCAAATGACCAACAATACATATTTATAGTAGAATTACCAAGAATAGATTTTATAGCAAATGACCACCAATACATATTTATAGTAGAATTACCAAGAATAGATTTTATAGCAAAATGACCAACAATACATATTTATAGTAGAATTACCAAGAATAGATTTTATAGCAAAATGACCAACAATACATATTTATAGTAGAATTACCAAGAATAGATTTTATAGCAAAATGACCAACAATACATATTTATAGTAGAATTACCAAGAATAGATTTTATAGCAAAATGACCAACAATACATATTTATAGTAGAATTACCAAGAATAGATTTTATAGCAAAATGACCAACAATACATATTTATAGTAGAATTACCAAGAATAGATTTTATAGCAAAATGACCAACAATACATATTTATAGTAGAATTACCAAGAATAGATTTTATAACAAAATGACCAACAATACATATTTATAGTAGAATTACCAAGAATAGATTTTATAAAAAAATGACCAACAATACATATTTATAGTAGAATTACTAAGAATAGATTTTATATAAAAAATGACCAACAATACATATTTATAGTAGAATTACAAGAATAGATTTTATAGCAAAATGACCAACAATACATATTTATAGTAGAATTACCAAGAATAGATTTTATAGCAAAATGACCAACAATACATATTTATAGTAGAATTACCAAGAATAGATTTTATAGCAAAATGACCAACAATACATATTTATAGTAGAATTACCAAGAATAGATTTTATAGCAAAATGACCAACAATACATATTTATAGTAGAATTACCAAGAATAGATTTTATAGCAAAATGACCAACAATACATATTTATAGTAGAATTACCAAGAATAGATTTTATAACAAAATGACCAACAATACATATTTATAGTAGAATTACCAAGAATAGATTTTATAGCAAAATGACCAACAATACATATTTTATAGTAGAATTACCAAGAATAGATTTTATAACAAAATGACCAAAATACATATTTATAGTAGAATTACCAAGAATAGATTTTATAACAAAATGACCAACAATACATATTTATAGTAGAATTACCAAGAATAGATTTTATAGCAAAATGACCAACAATACATATTTATAGTAGAATTACCAAGAATAGATTTTATAGCAAAATGACCAACAATACATATTTATAGTAGAATTACCAAGAATAGATTTTATAGCAAAATGACCAACAATACATATTTATAGTAGAATTACCAAGAATAGATTTTATAGCAAAATGACCAACAATACATATTTATAGTAGAATTACCAAGAATAGATTTTATAACAAATTGACCAACAATACATATTTATAGTAGAATTACCAAGAATAGATTTTATAGCAAAATGACCAACAATACATATTTATAGTAGAATTACTAAGAATAGATTTTATAAAAAAATGACCAACAATACATATTTATAGTAGAATTACCAAGAATAGATTTTATAGCAAAATGACCACCAATACATATTTATAGTAGAATTACCAAGAATAGATTTCATAGCAAAATGACCAACAATACATATTTATAGTAGAATTACCAAGAATAGATTTTATAGCAAAATGACCAACAATACATATTTATAGTA